TCAATAGCTGATTGATAGCGCTCCATTGACACGCAGTTGACGGGAATGTCTCCAGGACAAGCGGCAGTTGTCAGGCTGGAGTTCATGGTCGACGCGGCACTGAGGTCTACTCTCAATGGGGTCTCTTGTAGCTTTAGTTTGAAGTCATCCAAGGGTCCTGACCGCCATGTTGACTTTCCCTCTATAAAAGCCATTAGGCTCATTGTCCACCAGCTTACAAACAAGAAACCCACAGAAGCTCATTATGTGGTCGTGCTGTTACAAGGTGACAGACTTCCTGAGTAACAGTTTGAGTTCCCAGACTTAATGAACAAAGTAAAAAAAAAAGCACATTATCTCCATGCCACAAAAAATTTAACCATCTAATCATTTTGATTCTTCTTTTTCTTTTTTTTGTCGGATGAATCTTTCAATAAATAGAAACCAGACTCATAGAAATTGTTTTAAAGATGGCTGACAGGCTCTGTGATGTTGGGCGTGGTTCACCATAAAAACCTCACAGCCAACTAGTGTGAACCAAGCGGCAACCTCTGAAAAAATGAAGCCAATGTAGAAGTGCAAAAACCTGCCGTTTCTCGAGTGGCCACTTGAGGCAAGCTGCAAGACAGCAGAAATAAACATGTTTACATCCTGGTACAAAAAACTATTTTGATCTGAATAGCTTTGTTTTTATTATATTATTTAATTTTTTTACTAACTCATCCATTTAGATTTTATAAAACATAAGCGATATTCTTTTTTCGACACTTTTTTCTTGAATCTTGAAAAATATTCATAATAGGGGGCGTGGCCGATCTGACGAGCAGCAGGGGTTGGTTGTCATTGTTTGTCAGGAGGCTTAAGACCTGCCTCAGCTCCAGCTCTTTTCCTGTTACTTAGCAACCGATTGGCTTCAAATGTCCTCTAAAGAAACCGATGGGTGGCGTCACTAAGACTACGTCCATTTTTATATAAATTTTATTACAATTTCCAAACTGTAGAAACATGGATTAGTTTCCACTTTCTCAAACTTTCAACTGATGAAGATCCAAGTTTTAGTTTAAGGCTGCATGTTTGGTTCAAGTCCGAACTGTAGCTCCTTTCCCGCTTGTCATTTCCCTCTCTCTCTCTGATTTTCTTACTCTGTCCGTATGTTTGATGGCATGATGTAAACATACAGGTGTTGATACTTTTCTGTGATGCTGTTTATTTCTAATAACTTGCACCACGTTCAAAAAGTTCATAACAAACTTGTTCACGTTGAATCTCAGTGGAAAGAGGAGATTTTTTTCCATCACTTGAACAAAATGATTACTCAGCCTTTTTTCACTGTATCAGATGTGTGTCTGATACTTTCTGATTTTAAATATTCTCCTGTGATTTATTCATAGTGAATTATAACATTGCATTTCACAGAAATAGAAGAAGGGATATTTCTTCTTCTAACCGCTCTGGGTTGTTTTCTCCGCCTGTGCCAATTTTGCCCTGTAGTCCAATGAGCCGCAGGTGGAAGCTGCCAAGTTGTAGCTTTAACACACTGCTACTGTACACCAGAGGCAGTGTAGGAATCTGGCTTGTGTGCTGTTCAGCAGTTTTGTCAATGTGGCGAGGTGCGCCGCTGCCAAATAAACGCTCCCTCTGCCTCCTGCCAGGACTGATTTATGGCCGAATACATCCTTGCCCTGTCCACTTTATCCCCAAAGAAAAATCATTTTCCAATTGAGCAGAACTTAAGGCCTTGAAGGAGCGGCTCCGCGTGGGGAACGAGAGGCAGAATATTTTATCGGCACTGGCATTTGGATGAATGATGCAAACCTCAATCTCTCGGGGCTGAAGGAGCGATAGACGTTAGAGGCACAGTTTCTTTTCCCTTCCTTCGCCTCCTCAATGTGCAAGACAGAGGATGTAATTTAACTTGCCACTCACTTAGAAAGCTATAATTATATCGATGTTTTACTGTAGGCAGGGTTTACCAAATGTATTTTGTGTCGAGGAAGGTTACAAGATGCTGCCGAGTATTACACTAGTATGTTTCTAACCCCGCGGTGGGACCTGGTATATGCTCAGTGTACTACTTATGTAATATTGATGACGTTTTCTGTTTTGTGTATGTTACAAGTGCATAGCTACAAGTCACAAGTCAAGACAGCTAGAGTTTTCAATGTAAAATTCTGATGTTGTGATCACTAAAGCTTTCTCTCTGTAATTTTCAACTCGGGGCCTAAAGCTTGAGGTGTAAAATGAAGGCATGTAAGCGTGCAGCTCAGCAGATCTGATCCTCATGTGTAGGGACTGCTGCTGTTACTTTGCCTTTCTGCCCGCGTGATGAGGGTGTCGAGCTTTTGCACCAGTGTCTCATTAGGAGAGGGACAGCTGTGCAGAGGCGGACAGCCTGTTTCCAGAGACACCAGTTGAGTCACAGAAGGCCACCGACCAATCAGGGAACGCTTTCTGCTTGCTGCATGACTCAGAAAGCCTCACACGGCTTATCGTTCTCTAACTGGATGCTTTCTTATCCTCATCAGCAAAGAAAGTTTATCTGACAGTAAGAGGGGGGTGTGGGGGGGGGGAGAAGCAGGTTTGTAAAGGCGTCACATCTCTCTGTCCGAGCAGTTTCAGAGGCTGTTATCAACGCTGGGAAGCAGACCGCTGCTCGGGGAAATATCCTTCTGTTCCGGTTTTCTGGACTCTGTAAACTTCTTTGGAAGCTGAGATCCAGTAGGGCTGAAATTTCAGAGTGTGGGTCCCTTTGAGCAAAGCGCCCAGAGACTCCTCTGAGTAACTTTTATGGATGTATGTGTTGTGGAAATTGGTCTAAACTTCTTAAAACTGTGATGTTCCCTTTGGACTCAGTTAAAGGCAACCTTGCCTCAGTGAAAAGCTCTTTTTCAACACTTACTACAACTACATGCTAAAGGCTGAGTGGACAATAGGGTAATATGAACGCTCTTCTTTGTGCCACAGGGAGGTTTTACAAGGCTAAACACTCTGACATATTCGAGAACATATTTGGGCCTGCAGCAAGGTTTCTTATTAAGTCAGCCGAGTGAGACAGAGCAGCTCTCATCGTCTCTGATAAAGAAATCAACCAGAGGTTTACTTCCTCAACTTGTTCGCTGTCAGACATTCTCCCAGGAGAAAACCCAGGCTGGATGATATTCAGGTACCTGCTCTGCATGACAACGACGTATTCAAGAAAACGTGGCCTTGAAAGAAACAAATCTCGTACCATGACCACAGAGAATCTAGCCTGCACTTGTTCTCTGCGATTGATGATGAATCCATCTGCTTTGTGACGCTGTAACGCTGAATTATAACTACTACTTTTTGCATTGATGACTCAGATTGCCATGAACAACTTTTTTTGAACAGAAACAATTTTTACATCACCTGCATCAGGCCTGTGTTGACGCCTGTGTTCTGCATAAAACCAAGATCAGTGTTTTTAGTGTTCAGCATCCAAGGATTTAAATCTAAAAAAATTATTTTGTTGTTGGGATCCCTGCTTTTAAGTACTTGGACACTAGCAACAAAGATCTCAGCATGTCAGAAGCAGAAACGAGCACATGTAGTTGATTTACTTTGATCCATCATATTTAAGATTATGTTGCAGTCTTAACGGTTTCCCGCTGAAGCAATCGTTGGATAAATTCCAAAAACTGTTTAAACTACTCGCCCCAAAGATCTCAAATATGTCAAAAAAGGGGGCTAGGTTTAAATTGACCAGAATTCAAAATATTCATTAAATTGAATCTTCATATTTCACTGAATTCAAAGCTGGACTCGTTGGAGGCAGCTACCTCTCACACAGCCTGCTGTTGGCAGCTGCCTCTGGGTTAGACCCCTCCGCCTGAAGGCAAGCCTGGGTTTTTCTCTCGCTCCACTACCTAGAGCTGCAAGTCTGCCTGTCAGTCACACCCTCAGGCCCCACTGTGCTGCCTGACCCACTGGCACTTTTACCATGGCAACACAAATCCCAGCAGACCTAGCTGTCAAGAACAGGAGTTCTCAGAAATATGAAAGGCGAGGCTCTGATCCAGGGTTCACTCGAGGGATTTGAGCTGCCGACCCCGATGTCTTGGCCATATGAATGATGCTTCCCTTTTCCTTTTATTTATTGGATTCTTTGGTGACAAATAGTAATAATATAGTTTCTACCCTCCAGACCAAAAACAAAGCATAAAATAAAGAATTTATAACCAAATCGCCAAAGAAAAAAACGCTAAAGCTAAATGTATAATCTTTCTTGCACACGGAATGAGCTCCCTCTCAAATATCCAAGAAGACTGTTATTTGTTCAGGGTAATAGTTTCTCCAAGCACCCTCAAACATACTCAGCATAAAAACCTGCAGCAGTGCAAACGGAGTTTCCTGTGATTGAAACATGAACGCAGAGTAGAGATTTATAACTATGATGGCCTGGCCAAACATTGGCCGTTTTAACTGGTGCTTTGAAATACAATTATTGATGAGAAAATCTTCTTTCAATTCATGTTTCCTTCAACTGCAACAGCTCATAATGTGCTTAGGATACAAAGCAACATGGACCAAGTCAAAAAAAAAAACAAGGTCAACTTTAAGTAAATGAACCTTGATGAGTGCTGGTTTCACTGAAAAAGACAACAAGTGACCTGCAGAGGTGAGCAGTGCAACTCACTGGCTGCTGCACCGTGCTGGTCACCACTATCACTGTTAACCATAAGCTAAGAGATCAACTACCGTACTGGTAACTAGCAGGAGTGCAAAGTCCTCATGGTAAAAACAGATGGAACTAAAAGAGCTACACGACTGCATGTTGTGCGACTTATATTGCCAATTTTAAGGCAATTCATTAAGTAAACACTTAAAAGAGCTAGTCTGTTAGCGTCAGAGCTTTCGTTCTTGTTTATTGAACCCAGACAAACCATTTCCATTCCCCCCCTTGTCTACATCCCCTCCCCTCTCAGTCTGAGACCTCTACACTGAACACTTCTTTCTCCACTCCTGGCTCAACGTCTCTTTCTTCCCTCCTTGTCTCGCAGGTCATCCTGATCCTGACCAAGTACTACCACGCTGACTCTACAAAGGTGCTGGAGAGCTCGCTGTGGAGGTAGGCCAAACGTTTACACCGTGTTCTCCCTTGTTGGATGTCTTCATGTCTTGTCATGTCTGGCCTGAGCCTCGCGCTGACCCTCCCCGTCAGCGAGGTCAGCACATGTTTCGGTTATCTCGCCGCTGAGCTTCGTCAAGGAGACGAGGAGCGATACGGGGGGGGGGGGGGGGGCGGTCAAAACATCAGCAGGCAGCTACACGGCTATAGTGGGGGACCGGAGAGTGGCGCTGTGAGGTCCAGAGCGGGCATCTGTCTGTGCAGATAGGATGTCAGCATGGCACAGGGGAGACAGTGCCAGGAAGAGGGGTCAGTCTGTGTGGCAGAGCCCTTCCTCTATTGAGCAGAGCTGCCTTTGCCAAGAACACTTCACACTTCTCTCGTCAGGAAGAGCAACGCATCCATTCTGCTCCACTTCACAACAAGTTTATCTCAGGCTCTACGTATATTCTCATGGATGATTCATTTCCTCTTACTCGCACCCCCCTGGGGTTCTGCAATACAGCTGAGCGTGTCCTTCTCCTAGATGAGGGCAAGGCAATTTAATTATATTCCTATTTGCTAATAAAAACTTAGAAAATAGACAAGACAGAGGGAGCGTAACGCCGGCTTAAATTAGCCCGTCTAGAAGGCATTCACAAGCAGCAAAACGCGTCTGATGGTGGTGCTTAATTCATGCCATTCACCTCGGCGAGCGCTCCATGACTTCAAAGCTTCAGCCTCTCATTAGCTCTGACTGCCTGTCTCCCTGGAGGACGGATATGAATAATCTACATGTTTTTCTCCTTCTCCTGTTGATGTTTTAATTGTTGCAGCGTACGAATAATACAAACTCCTAACTGGACAGCCCACTTGAGAAAAAAAAAGGCGGACTGCCCATTGGCGTCATTGTCTTAAAAAACTGAAATTAGCATGTTTCTTAGAGGACGCGGACATGTCTCCATGACCGGGCCTCTGTAGGCTTTATGTTTGAGGTGTACTGCGGGTCCTTGTAGCTGTCAGCGTGGACAGACACAATCCTCTGGCCTTTAGGCTTTGAAGTCCCAGGGCTGCAGGATCAAACAGGGAAGATGAATGGGTTCGCCATCTCGACCTGTCAGGTGGCGTAGATCAAGATGCCAGGGTTTCACACCGGGGGGGAAAGTTAACAGCTCGGAGAGGAGAAAAAGTTTTTTTTTTTTTTGAGCGAGGCTGATGTAATGGAGGCCCTCGCAGATTGGCGGTGGTCTACAGAGGCTTGTTTTCTGTCAACAGGCAAAGCAAGCAATCTGTGGCTGTTGGTCAAAGTGGTGGATTCGACCCAAACAACTGGGTATCAGTCAGTTTGAATCATTCATGTCTGCCCTGAGCGAAGAAATCCTTTAGATTGAAGTGTTTCAGCAGGAATCTAATGCTTAAACATCTAAAAAAAACGTTTTTTTGTCTACCTTGAATACTGTTTTATATGCTTTCCTTACTTATACCACAACAATGATTACTAACAGTGGGAGTAATATACATCAGGGCTTATTTTGGATTTTGTGTTGAGAAATTTCTGCATCAAGCTTCCCCTTTTCATCGTGTTAAAAACTACGATGCTGAAATGTGGCTTTCTCTCTTTGTTCTTTTTCACTCCCACATGGAAAACTCCTCCTCGTTTTTCTTCTCTGACTTTCATCGACAAACTTAGACTGTTGCATCAATAATGCATGCGACTCTTAGCAGAGCAACAACAGTCAGTGCTGTCAGATAGGGCCCCCTTAGGGAGGTTTTCGACTGTCATTGTAAACATTGCACATTTTTAGCCACTGCTGTGATTTCAAGTTTGTCAGCCCTCAGAGGGCCTTCTTCTAGCCTGGGGCCCCAAAGCAGATTGACAAGCAGCTCATCTGTAATAAATAGAACGGAAGAGATACCTATAGAGCACCTTGACACTTAACAACAAACACCTTCAAAGGCGGTGAACCTGAGTTTCTTGTGAGTCTGTTTTCCCTGTAAAGGTGGTTGATCACAAGTTTCCCTTTAAAGGCAGGGTTGGTAATTTTCGTAAAACTAGCATGATCTTGAAAGTAGCATTCCCTTAGTGCTCCGTCAACACCCACCCCCTCCCCTCTGTGCTCTCTCAAAAGCCACGCCCCTTTTATGCCAATGTGAGAGATGGAATTTGGATCGATAAGTAAATGTGAGTTTCAGCCTGAGGGTCTGCTAACTCTCCACCGTGGCCCTCCAGCAAACTGCCTGCAGTAGTAAATAACTATGAATGCTTGATAGATCCACACAACTGATTTTTAAAAAGCTCCATAGGAATGTCAAGTAAGGAAAAAACCTTTGCAAACCTTTGGTCTGCTGTAGTGTATACTATCCCATGTGTCCAGATTTTGAATAAGGCATGTTTTAGAGAAAGCTCTGGTGCACTGCATACTCTGGTGAGTGGAAAGTTGCCATCTCGTACTCTTTCAGCGTAACCATAACCTCCTTTGGCTCTGTGTTTCTCCTGTGTTGGCTCCTTACTCATCGCTGCCTGATAATCCTGCTCGTCTTTCCTTTAAGTGTGTTATGACTGAACCACGTTCTTCAGCTAGAACACTGCTGATAAAAGAGCTCCAAACACCTCCCTGCCCCCTCAAACGTTTTGTGAGAATGGATGTCTTTGTGAAGACGTTTTCCCAGGCAGTTTACTCGCATATTTGAAGTACAACCGTGTAAAGATGAGAAGATTTAGATGACTCAGATTTATCCATCCTCTCAGTTATCAAACAGTTTTCTTCAGTTTTTCTCGTCTGAGTTATAACACCTCTGTTGTGTTTGGACTGTGCTTTCTATTACACACCTCAGAAGTAAACACAAGACATAACTGCAGCTAAGGTATCAATTACAGACCAGAGGTGCGGACCCCTGAAGTGAGATGAAGATACACTGGACTCTGAAAACTCAAAGGTCCTGCTGTGTGTGTCTGTGTGAGTGTGTGTTGTTGTTGCTACACTTCTGTTAAGGTGTGTGAGCTGCTAACAACTTCCACTGCAGACGGGAGCAGACTTGTGAGAAGGTTTTGGGGGATTGTTTTGGTAGTCTACCCTCCTCATGCATCCCATTGCCTACTAGGAGGTCAGTCTCTAAGAACTTTTTGTAAGTCTTCTTGACTCTTAATCCAAATTGTTGACTATTCACATGTCCTTATAATCCTTACACCTGACTTTATGCACCTTACTGCATCCTTTGCAAACCTCTGAAAACACTACCAATTAGGACACAAAGTTAGCCTGAGTATGAATTTGATAAATTACAAAGAAGGATGAAGTAACCCCCCTTCCACCTGATTTAATATATCTACATATGATGTGTTTTTTTTTTTTTTGGATGATTGAAGAGGAATCTGGTCTGAAACAAAAAGATGACAGTTTTATAAACAGGGTTGTTTTTAGTTTCTGGTGATGACAGATGGCAGATAAAGTGGAGTTCCCTCTTAACGAGGCTTACATCAAATTGAAGTCTTATCCCATATTGTCTTTCAGTCACCTATCAGTCCAGACTTTAGCCTTAAGTAGATCCAATTCTGATCCGGCTTCAAAGTACACAGAGGGGAAGGTGTTCGTAGATTAGAGAGAGAAGTGAGGATTTGCCTCAGGATTTAACAAACACTGTGAAGACTCCCGGCTGACATCAACCCGTCTTAAGACTCTGTTGCTCCGAGTCGAGCTTTAAAATACTCCGTAAAGCTTCGTGATCCTCAGACTGAAGAGAGCACATGTTGACTTCACTCGGTTTAAGTAAATATTCCTTATTTTTAGACGACTGTAGAGCTTCAAATATACGGCTGGAAGGTCTAAATCCACTTTTAGAAACTAGAATCAGAAATAACAACCCCAGGGCCTTAAAAGTTTGGACATTGGAAGTGATGAACACAATTTGTGATCTGGGTCAAAAAAGTTGGGGCCAGTATATTTTTTCCAAAACTACAAAATGTCTCAGTTTGATGGGCTTGAAGTAATCAATAAAAATATTTTTTAGAATTGCAATTAATTAAAACAAATATGGTGTTTCAATGATTCACAAATCATCACTTACAGTTAATATTTTAAAGGAAGAATATGCAACATTTTACACATGAATACAGCAGAAATCCAGTCTCTCCTGTGTAAATGTGTTTCTGAGTCATGACTGTCTACAATGAGTGAGAAGCTCGAGTCCCGCTGGCTGTGTTGTTGTCAGAGCTGTGTTTACATGGACGGGACGGCCGGCTCCTCCCCTTGTGTATAAAAGCTGTTTTAGTCAAGAACTAGAGAGAAGAAGAAGAACATACTCCCTGATTATTTGGATGTCACGCAAGTGTTTTTAGATCATAATCGTTCTGTGTCAGTTTTTGTGTTATATGAAGCTACGAGCTAACTTAAGAGCGCTAAAATTAGCATGCTAATTGCAGCTTGAGTAAAGGACAATTTTATCCGCCGCTTGCACTTAATGGTTCCTAATTATGGTGCGTTCTAAATCATAACTCCTTCGTGCAAACACGAGTGGAGAGGGGTGTGGAGGTGTGCGCTAAAGAGCTCTAACATTAGCCTGCTAACACAACAATGCAGCTCAAGACGAGGACAATTTTGTCCGCCGCTTGTGCCTTGCGCTTAATTATTGTGCATTCCAATTTGTGTGAATGTGAGTGGAGGGGGTTTGGAGGTGTGTCTCTGGAGGAGAGCGGAGGCTTCAGGATGGAGGAGGTGTGGCCAAATAGCAGTTTGTTTTGGTTTCATGCTGGTGCTCAAGGGCGACATCTACTGGATCAAAAAGTCGAACATTCTTCCTTACAACAACGCCTCATCTTTTTAGAATATGTAGTTTAGAAATACAATCACAGAAAGAGTAAATATATAATGACTCCCTTTGGATAAGTGATTTAATAAATGCTGAGTTTTTATTATCTCAATCTTTCTTAAGTCTTTTTTTTAATTGCCTACAAATGATCTTCAAAATGCAATATTTTTATTTCTTCATTTCTGCCTTTAAAAAGTTGTTTAACCCCAAGCATC